TCCACTGAATCTAAAGCAGCTTTGCAATCAACAAAGAATCACTCCAACTATCCAACGCTACCCCGTAAGGTCAAATGTCTGACGGATGACAGGCCAGGAAAACTTGGAAAGCTCAAAAACTTTTGCTTTGGCCAAAGGCTTGAGACTATGGGTGAGCACAAAAGCACCCACCTCTTGGAGGTAGTATTCTAACGTACGCACACGCGACCAACGACCGCGCCAGGCAACCCAGCTCACGTCCTCCGATGTGGTGTAGAGGTATAGGTTGCTCCGGAGCCCCGGAGAACTCCAGGTGTTGCGCCTTGTTGAAGCTGTGAATGTGGCACACCAAGAGATTGCATGATTGAGTTCCATTGTTTGCGGAAAGTATTGATAGATCCAGGAAACAATTTGTTGTCCGCTTCTAATGAACCAAAAACTCTCTGCGCTCCCTCAATGACCGTGTTGTCTGCGAGTCTGCGAGCAAATGGAGCTGTCTTTGGCTCGCGAATCTTTATAAACAGACTTGCGCTATCAAAACAAACGTCAGATGGAAAAATCAAATCTCTCCGCTGAAGCGCCATCATTTCAGAAGGATGCAGCATGGCACCAAAGCCTAAAAAGACTATTGCAGCCCAAGCTGGCCATTGCCACAGCAAAGCCAAGGTGATTGAAGCTCTGATGACGACCGGTGGAAGTACCGGTCGGCGCGTCCCTGGCTCGTGAATCTGCCACTTTCTGTCAATCTGCCAAGCTAATGACATAAACTGCCTACATAGTGGATATAGCTCCTGAATCCCGGTAAGTGCGTAGACGAAAAGATATCTTGGCAAGCCAGCTTCAAAACAGTGTAACCAATACCCACGTAACGCCAGACAGGTTGCATGAGGATCTTTGACAAGGCTTGACCAAGTCAGCTGAGCTTCTTCTTCAACCCAAGCTTGGAATCCATCAACACAGCGCTTCATCCTATCTACAGTCACAGCAGCAAAGCCAGTGGTCAAGTCCAGAGGGCCTCGAGGAACTCGGTCTCCTCTCGGTCCAGGATTGCGTTCAATGTCACCTCCAAGCAGCAGCAAAAATCTTAACCATCGGCCGCAAAGCTTTGGGGCGCGGCTGGATTCAACAACCAAGTCAAAAAGGCTGCTGTCCCCACCCTGCAATCTGCAGAGCCACTCAGGCAACTCTTTGGTTGGGGCTTGAACTGGACGATCCCTCGATGGATCATCTGCACGGTTGTCGGCGCATAGCAATGCAAACACCCAGGAAACAAGCCTCCTCCAATGATGTAGGGTAGGGTGCCCTGGAGCACTCGGCTGATGGCAAAACTGCTAGATCTGCCCTTAGCAGCGGCACCGATGGTTACCCGGGTATCCAAAAACCGAACAAATCTGGTATCAGGACTACTCTTAGCCATAGATTTGATCCAGGATTTAAAGGTTCGGGTCTCAGTAACATTGATGTGACCAGGTGATTTAGATTTGAATCGGAACAGCTGTCGAAATTCAATGACTTCACTGACCCACTCTGGATCTTCAAACCATTCTCGAGATTTTGCAGGCTCTGCGGGCAAAAAAAGTGGGCATAATTATCCACCGGTTCATCCACCTCAGCAAAACTGCGCGCTCGAACTTCGCTGGGAATGATTCCAACGCACCCGTTTTGGGCTGCCAAGGAACCCAAAGCCAGACCTCGGACCAGAGGCAGTGGATAGGCGGCCGAGTACGCAGCCACAGATTGACCCACCTCTGGCGGCTCAGTATACACAGCGGCTGCGGATGGTTGGCAGCGTTCTTCGAAAGCTAAGATGCCTTCAAGAGTGAATAACCCCTCAGTTTTGAAATGTCCACCTTTATGCCTGCAAGCGCATTCAGATTCTAGGTTTATCAGCCAGGGTTTGTTGCGCAGCCACTTTGATGGCTTGTGCTTGTGGAAAGCACTTCCAAAGCTGCAAAACGAAAAGTGAGATATCACACAACCGAGGCGCAGCAATTGTCGATAGCAGTGCAGACGAAACAATCGGCTGTCGCGCGGCTGCTCCACGCTGATATAAGATCCTGAAAACACTGCAATCATGAGAATGAAGCAAGTACGTTGCGCTAACTTGTTGTGATATTTGGTGAATGGGTCTTCTGGGTTGAACCCGTACGGAAACTCATTTGATCTCACCTGAGGTCGGCGGAAAGTGCCATAACTCAAATAAGGCACTCCAGCGTGCCACTTGCGAACAACTCCTCTGCATGCCAGGCTGATTAGCTCGCGAACGACGGCATCAGCTTGCAGGTCAGAACAACGCAGACGGCGGGCATCAAAATCGACGCCGTCGTGGCACTGCAAACCTACTTCACTGTGTGCTGTGGACCAGTTTCCGCTACCTCGAAAATTTCACAACAGTCAAAAACAAATCCTTCAGCGAGCGGCGGCGGGTATTTAAAAGAAGTGGGAACACAGCTGGATGAAGGCTTAATGGGTTCTGAAAGAAAAGCTTGGGAGCCAAGTTCTTCAATGCCGTGTTCAACGAGAGTTGCAGAAGCAGGGTTCAAAAGCTTAGTGTAAAACCCACGTTGCTCAGTGCGCCGCCAAAATTCTTTAGACGCATGACCGCCCAGATAAGCATAGCAAACTGCCCCGCCGGCTGGCGAAGCGTCAGTGCAGTACACCTTTGGATCATGTCTTGCTCGCATGTCGCTCTGAGCCATACAGCCCAAGGATGCCAACAGTTGGAGCTCACACAAAGTTTGTCGCCTCAGGCAAAACACTTCATCTTGTGATCTACCCTTCCCCTCGTTGAAGACACTGCTCATGATGGCAACAAGGGGTCGCCTAAAAAGCAAAACGTGGATCCAACAACCCACCACCATAGAAAGTAGCCGATTGGTGCAAGTACCTTTGTGAACAATTGCCATGGACACCAGGGACAGCAACGCAATACGGCTTCGAGGAGGCATGACCCGACCAGCTAAACCGTCGAAATCAGCACCGAGGATAATTCCAGAGGTCTCATCCCTACGTTGCTTCTTTTCCTGTTGGATCAAGCCGACTTTCTTGTAAGCCATAGTTAGAAGCCTTCGCAAACACTTCCGTATCCCTGAGAGGGGGTTTTTCACGGATCTGGGAAATAGGCCACTTTTGAATCCCTACATGGTCATCGATGGCAGGAGCTCAACAAAATCTGTCCTAGGGACAGCAACTCGATATCTCAACGTCTCATCACTCCTGAGAGCACCACAAAGAAACTTTAAAACATTCGAGTGAGCTTGTTGGGCAATCTCCACTGCCATGTTGTCTCCCATTGCAAGGGTTTTAAGACAGATCAGAAGATCTTGACCCTCAAAGGAAGGATGGTAACACTTGAAATTTTTGACTTCCGAAGACTTAAAAACCACACGCAATGCATTCCGTTTGGCTCGGGCGGCTGAAACAACAAACGTGTATTAGTAATCGGTCAAATCATCAGCTGAGAACCTAAAAGCTTGGTGATCTTCAAGATGAAGCAGACCTAACACACACCCCGGGGCAAGCTCTTTAGTGGACTTGGTGATGGTGCGCATGCGACTGTTAATGGTGACAGGATTAATGATGAGCCTATCGAACTCCTTGTCTTTAGGCACGCAGAACAATCCTACCGCTTCATCAAAACCCTTTTCACTAGGTGGCAACAGCATACAAGCACCAAGTTCATCCCATCTGGCTGCTAAATCTAAAAGTTCAACCCTGGGACACCGGACCCTGGCTGGATGCATGGGCGTTACGGTCTTTACGAAGAGTTTCAGGTTCAACGTACGTTGACTTTACAACTGGGTCTGACAAGAAATCTTCGGCGTGGAAGCTGAGCGGATTTTTCCACTTCACACGGCTGGAGATCACTGGCAGCGATCCTGTACCACCGGGCGGCGGCGCGTTCGGCTGAGCAAAGGGCTCACAGCAATGCGACTCGGGCTGAACATCAATAGCTGGTTTGAAGGCAATATGTTTTTGCCGTACGGATCTAAGTCACTGTGAATGCGTGATGCTAATTGATGAGGGTCCTCAGTCCTCAGCTTACACCAAGGCAGTTCCTGTGAACGCTTAATTAAATCTGAAAATTTCCCCTGAGCACGGCCGCCACGGCCCAAATCGGATCCTTCAAACTTCGGCGTGTGAAGGAAATGGTCCAACATAGCTTCAACTCGTTCTAGAATCGAATGCTGGTTGGGATGAATTGGTGCACCTAGTTGTGCACAAAGGGGTGGACTCGACTTATAGCCTAACACTTGCCAGTTCATGGAACAAATGACAACCTGAAGCAATTTATGTCGAGTCTCAAAGTAGCGCAATCTATGACGACTGCGCGGATTCAGATTTCGTGCAGCTGTCCAACTCCACCGGGGGGACAGGCCATAAAGCCCGGCTGGGCTTTTCCATGGTGCAGGCATGGTCGGCTAGCTTAAGACTCTGCCGAATGAATGAGCCTAGAGCAGTGGGCGCAGAAACGGCGCTCTTGCAAAAAGAATGCATCAAATTAACACATGAAAACACTTGTTTGGATCTAGGGTCAGGAACATCATGATCTATGTTGAAACTAGATTTGAAAAACTCGTCAACTAAATCCAATGCACCCGGGTCATCACACGACTTCAAACTCTGCGCTGGCAGTTCGAAGGGCTGCTCGACATGAGCGACTCTTGGAGCTAAACTGATGCTGCCTGCATTGGACCCCTTCCCCTGACGCTTGTTCTTTGGCTGAGTCGTTGGTACCTGATCTGCATCGCCGGTCTTGACCTTGTTGGTCTTCTGCAACCCCAAAGTTGACAATCTGCTTTCTGGATAGTCCATATCTTTGAGGTAAGCGATGTTGGCTGACACCCAAGCCGGGTGGCATAACCGTGCATACGGCTGAAGACCGGGCATTCTCTTGGAACTTGTCACCCTGTAAGGAGCCAACCCATCTGAGGCCGACCGCCGTCTATGGCGCATTGTTCTACAAAATAGAGCATCCGGGACAGAACCCCTAGCATCTCCACATTCCCAGTTTCGAACCCGATTGACCAACTCTCGGCAATCATGGCAGTGAAATAGGTCAGCAGGCGATGGTCGGCAAGCGCCATCCTTCTTTCCATGTACTTGCGAATCAATGATCCATCTTCTTTCTGAGGATCCATCCCCAGTTCTCTCAAGGCATTCATTCGAGTTGCATTTGCCACGGCTGGCAACTTGGCTACCGATTGCAAGAAAGCTTCGCGAGCCAGACAGCCTTTCACACCTGTTGATGAACTGCCTGATGCGCTGTCCGCGCCTCCTGAGCTTAGGATGCCCAGAACTGGGTCTGAAACTTTCTGTCCTACCAACTTCTGCAGCAAAGCTTGGTTTTGCTGCATCTGGAGAGCTAGCAACCGGTGGAGCGGATCTCCATTCTGGCCCAAAACATCGACTGGATCTGGCATGGTCGGCTCTTGCTCCGTGGCTTCTCGTTCCAAGTCCAACAGAGTATGATCTTGAGGAACTGGGAGATTCTGCAGTGACTGCTGCCGACGTCTCTCGACAGTCCCCACCCTGGGCGGTGGAGTCCCCGAACAACGGTGGCGCCTTGGGGGCCTTGGGGGTGGGAGCGACTTGAGGCAATCCTGGAACATGTTGAGGCTGCCGTTGCAGCAGCAAAGCCGCTTCGAGCTCTGCGACTCGGGCTTGGAGCTTCTGGTGAGTCTCGTGGGGACCCCTGGAGCTTGACCCTCCGCTATGGATGATCCTGGTTCTGGTTCTCCAGGATCTGCAAATTCTTCTCCTGTCACATATTCTTGGGCTGTATCTGGATCCATGCTTTCTATCCATATGTTGGCTAGCTCGTGCACTGATGCTTTGACCGGTCTTACCTCTGTGGCTTCAGGCTGAATGACAAAATCTTGGTCCGCTGAGCGGCAGTGATGCGACCCAGAGAAACAGAATGTTGCACGTAATCCCAACTGAGGTCTGCCAGCTGAACAACTGCTTCCCCTACCCGGCGGCCCCGGGTAGTCTCGACCGCCACCTGTCCAGCATGGAGCAAGGGAGTTGGATAGCCATGTTCTAAACTGAGATTGTCCAAACATTGGTTGATCACTTCGTCTGGAGGGAAAACCACCATAAAGCCGCCAGCCCGTACATATACCAGAAAGCCGCAAATCAAATTCACCCCATCTGCCAGCTCCTCTGCCAGAACCAAGAACCTTGAAGGGAGAGCTCTGGCAGCTGCGGCAGCTTCCACTGCTCACCGACTCCTCGGTGAGGGCCGCTCCTACAGTGGCGGCGGCCATCTTCGCTGAGCCGTGGCTGCTCTGCCTCCCGAGTGGCGTAAACATGACTGACGCTGTCTGTGCGGAAACTGCCGTCAAGCAGTTTCGCACCCTGCACGTAGGCAGTGCAGGATGAAGTCCAACAAGACTCACTAGTCGATCCAGCCCTGAACGCAATGAAGACGGTGTTCTTGGAAGGTGCCAACTCTTGCTGGAGAATCTGGAGCAGCTAAAACCCCTGCATGTTGTGCTGCGCACGCCAGAAAGCCCGGTGAACCCTCAGGGACGACGCCAGAGGACGCGTGTCGGTATCAACTGCCCTGCCTATACTGCGCAAGCCTGCCCCTTCTGTCAGTCTCTGGAACCAGCAAATGGGGAGAAATCACAGCAGCTGCCACCACACGCAGGAGGCTAAGAACAGCCCGACGACACGACACCGAGAAGACTATAGAGCGCCCAGAATGAAGCCAGCAATGAGGGACCAAATGCAGGCGAGGATGAAGCACAGGCCTATGGCTTATCAAGGGCAAGAAACCGGTGAACTGGTGAAATACCGGACTTCCCTGAGGAAATCGGGCAACCACCAAGGCACCATAAACTCTCGATCCCAAAAAGCTGCTTGAGCGAGTCGACTCAATACTGTTCACAAGTGATAGGAAGCATATACACATAGAATCTGAGATGGATGGGTGGATGAGTGGATAGGCACTGTAGTAAACAATTTTTGATATATATATATACATAGACAGCAATGTAGGTAATCATTGGCCCCAGCAGGAAGCGAGATCAATTGTATAGGACAAACAACAGTGTTTGCGCAGGACATAGTGGTAGAAAGGAATACATCTGTGAATTTAAGGAAGTGGGTAAAGACCGTGGACAGTGATTATATAGTATTACCGTAGAAGCAGGCCAACAGAAATATTCGAGCACCCTTTCGGGCACCCTTTCACAGTCAGAAGTGTTTCAGGTGTTGTTGCAGCGTGCGTGCACTGATGCGATGATAGAGGCACAAAGAGATACTTTATAGATGAATAGAACATATACATTGTTACATTATACAATAATATAAACAAACAGAATCAATAAATACACAATGGATAACAATGGATACATTTGTTCCTTTCCGACCGTCCAAGCCGACTCTCCGTGGAACAACCCTACAATATGCTTTACTGTGGATACACTTGTGCATGGTTGAGACACATTTCAAGGCCTCTGGAGTGATCCAATGCGCATTGGCCTGAGCTCTAATTTGCAAAATTGATGCACATGTTTTTAGCTTTAAGTAGGCGAGTAAGCTGCTAGCTACAAGTTCGCTTCTAGACACGGACGCAGGATAGCTCACTGATTTGGTTCCATTGTACTTCACTTTAGGATGAGGCTCGAAGCCTTTCAGCCAACCGTTCAGCAAGAGTTCGCTCCTGCAAAACAATTCTCTGTGAAACTCATGTACAATCGCAGCTGTCCTCAACCAGTGGATTAGGATCACTTGGAATGACCTTAGTTGTGGGCCAAAGTTTAAAGACTTGCGCAACAACCTGGAAGTCTTCGCAGCTCCACGGTGTCGGTGTGAAGTGCAAAGCAAAGCCACGTGTTCTTAGCACGAAGCATCTTCCCTTGGAGTGCGGAGCACTGTCAAACTAGCAGAGACTCCCAATCCAACTGCTGCCTGCAAGCCCTGCAAAAGCTCAAAATACCGGGCTTCCAAAAACATTCGTAGCTTGTGCTGAAAGAGAACATTGCAACTTTCTGCACTCATCTTGTCGGAATCCTTCTCTCCAAGCCTCTTCTCTGCCTTGCACTACGGCCCATGCTTTGCTCCTTGCATTAATATGTAATGTGATGATGATGTAAAAACATGTCGACTCATGTCGACCAACGCACCATTACCTCTCCTCCAAAGTGCTTCAACATTCTGCTCGCACAAGAGTGCAAATTGCTTGATGTCGCTGCTCAGGGTGTTGCAGCCTCACAGTCTGGAAGCGCAGAAATGTGTACATGATCATGTATGTACGAGTTGTCTGCCACTGGGTAACTGTGCTGTCAAGGTGTGGCTGTGGGGTATGGTTCCAGTACATATATATTATTTGTATATATATACAATATAAATGTTATACTTGTTATTGTTGCGGGATATCGGTTTATATACATTGTTGTTGGTCCTACATGATTGTCTGTTTCTTTGACATTGACACAGGACGTATTAGCATTAGTTGATGTAGGGGGCATCATCTGTTGAATCTGTTGGACCTCTTGTTTCAGCTCTTTTTCCAAGAACGACTCAGAAAAACGAAAGTCCTGCACCCAAAGCTGTTGTATGGAATGCATGTTAAATCATGTTGACACTACTAGTCGTATGACTAGTATGGAGGCTGGGAGAGTGGACAGTGCCAAGTTAAGTTTCCCTAAAATATAGGAACCGAATGAATCAAGGAACCCCCCCCGCCCTCAGGCAGGTCCAGCTTCCTTGAAGAAGCGTTGTGTGAGCTATCCTGCGTCCAGTAGGTAGTAGCTTAAATAAACTGCAACAACTAGAAACTTACTTGCAGTATTTCACAGGCGGCTACTTATTGAATAGGAGCGAGTAGGAGCGGGCTTTAACAAAAAGTTTTACTCGAGACTGCGTGTCCGCAGGGCACGGCTCCACTCTCGCAAGGCCACCTGTCCAGCGAAGTGCGGCAGCAAGCTCCTTGCAGTGTTCCTCGCCACCTTCCTGGCCAGCTCCAAAGATTTGTTCATTCAAGTGCAAACAAATGAACAATGAATTTCACACCAATATCATGATCAATATCCGCCGACCCCGATGGTGGGGGAGCGTGCTTGAGGACACTGCACGAGAAATCGGTGACAGACTGACTGACAGACTGACTGACAAAACAGATAGATCGACAGATCGACTGACCGATAGAGGACAGCCCGATAGACCGACAGACCGCCATACCGATCGGTGACAAACAGAGACAAACAAACAAGCAAAAACACAGATTAGACAGGCGGGCCTGAGATTGATTTTTTCTGCCGTCTGGAAGCAACGTTTGGCAGCACGCAAAGGCCGCGCGGACGCTTTTTTTTGTGTGGAAATATGTAGATTCTGCCAGGGATGTGGCGAGGCAATTTTGGGGACTATATATTTTTGGGTGATGAAGATAGGGTCGAGGAGGATGGTTTGGCAATGTTTGGCAGCCGTAAGGAGAAGAAGGATCTGGAGAAGGAAAACTGTTTTTTGAAATTGGTGTCAGAAAGCAACGTTTGGCATTGACCAATCAGCTTTGGTGACTATTTTTTGATCATTTTTGGTGTGGAATTAGATTGTTTGAGGCTGTTGTGGGTGAAGTTGTTGTGGTGCCTCGGGAGAGGGTGCGCAAGGCTACGTACTGATAGAAAGAAAAAGAATAGGGTGGAAGCCGGAGCAGAGGGTACGTCGGGAGATGAAGATAGGGTCGAGAATGGCTCTACGGCTTTGAGAAGGAGAGGACACTCTACTGTCATCAGAAAGCAACGCTTGGCACTGTGCTTTGGAGACTATTTTTGTCATTTTTGGTGAAGAATTAGATTGTTTAAGGCTGTGGCAGGTGAATCCGTTGCGGTGCTTTGGGAGAGGGTACGTCGGGAGATGAAGATAGAGCAAGTGTCTTTGTCTTCCTTGCTCCATCCAAATTGTGCGTGTCTTTTTTGCCCTGGGGTCGGCCAAGCCATATAAGCCCAGGTGGTGCTAGATATGTCAGCCGCAAACCGACATTTTGAACATCACCAGAACACACGATGTTCTTCAAAAAATACAAAAACAAAGGGAACGTGTTTTAAAAAACTTGCTACTGTAAAGCTTTATCTCCAGAGAAGGAAGTATGCCATGAGAAGAGGAAGTTTTGAGGCAGCAGCTGTGTCGAGCACCATTGGCATCACCAGAATACGAGCAGCGTTGTTCATAAACTACATACATGTTTACAGTGTTTTCTGCTTAGTCGTGCACCAAAGAATTTGCACCTTTCCTGCCGAGACTCTGCTGATGCTAATGATGCTCGACCAAAACTTCTCCTCTAAGCGTGTATCCATTTTCAACGCTTTATGTTCCAAGAGGCTTGGAAGCTACTTTTTCAAAAGTGACCATTTTTGATAACTTTCCTCAATGCTTGACGTTTTTTTTACGAATCCACATGAGCCCGGGTCATGCTAGAAATGCGGGTCGGCGGCATCCGGCGCGTCTCTATAGCAAGCTCTTCCAATATCAGGACATTGGCGTTTTCTTGACCGTTTCGACGGTCGAAAGTGGTCATGAAAGATGTCACCAAAGATGTCTGGGCAGCACATGCGCGCAGTCCCCCCACGGGCATCGCCGGTTGGCGAAGCCTGTCAGTTATGATAATCATATTGCACCATATAACTCAAACATCTGCCTCGTGCTTCTCAATATAGACACACCCAAACACGAATCGCAAGATTGGCCAAGGCTGCTGTCCAATGCGCACGCTGGAATTGTGTAGTTGATGCCAACATTCCAGAGGTTCCAGGATGGAGAAAGTCAAACTCCTTAATCAATGTTGAACACATGTTGCGTTCAATCCAAGTTCGAAGCAAGTCTAGTCTGACACAACCGAAGGACACGGCAAGACATTGCATGCAGGTCTCGGTCAAGGAGTCGGTTCCACCAGAAGCAAAAGCCGGCCTTTGCAACAAGTCTTTAAGGTGTTTGTTGAGACTCACTGCGAGATGATGGCAAATGATCGCCAAGACAGCGAGCCAAGTATATAAGTCAAAGAATAGATCACAAGATCACAAGTGGTTTATGCTTTTCAGGATGACTGCACAATTGCGGCAAGTGCAAAGCGTCTTGATCAACAAAGGGCGCCACGCTTGCTGTGGAAATCCATGTGTTTGCACAACAGGACCTTCAACATCAAACCAGCATGCACCAAAATACCATCAAAATCTATAGAAAAAGTCAAGGACATTAACCATATGTCCAGGGTACTTGTCTGGTACCACAATATGCACTATAACAGTGAGGTCAAGGCTGAAGGAGATCAAATCTTCGCTGGCATCCAAACCTGACAACAGTGGAGAACGCAAAAACCTTGCACCCCCGTCAGAGATCACTCAGAGACTCAGTTTGCATTTTTGGTATGCAGAAAGACCTCCAGCACATGGTGAAAGCATTTGAGGGTTGAAATACACAATCATACTAGCACGATGGCCTCCAACCTACTAGAAATGGCCTTTAAGCTAATAGCGTGGCCCCCAGCCGAAGAGCAATGGCCTCCAACCTACTAGAGATGGCCTGAAACATTGGGCTTTGCCTTCTTGTCTCACAAACACTTGACTCTGACACCCCTTGTGAGCAAAACGAGAGCCAACCACAGGCCTGCGGTATTTGACTGAGGCCTTGTGCCAACTTCGATGATACTATCATCTGCTGCCTTCAAGCATCAAGGGCTTCCACCAAGTCGAATCAAGCTCACTACATTCAAGTTCAGCAAGTGGATCTTTCCTGAAATCAGGGACCCTCCAAATCAAGAAGTATCACTACACTCCGTCTGTTGACAAATGTGACTGGTTGATACTCGTTGGGGACCCAGAAAGAGGATCAAGCTCCATCCTCTTTCCTCCTGACTTCAAAACAGCAAATTCCAAATACCCCCAAAAACAATCAATACTACAGTGCATAGGCAAATCAACGAATCACCCAAGTTCAAGCTCAAACAAGATCTTGAGGTGGATGAGATCGTGTTGCCCAGGGTGGTGGATATTGACTTGAGATTCCCATCCCAACAACCTACAGTGCGAAAACAAATGTTTTGAATTATGCCTGCTACAGATCAGATCTTTGTTGGAAAAGGCATTTGTGATTTGTGCAAAATGATGCGAAATGTCATTGTAGCTGCCAGCTGCTTTGCATTCTACAGCGATGTCCAAGGATGCGCGCTGCACTTATCTTCAGGACTGCCTAAACACTCGCTGCAAGCAGGCAGGCAAGCAAGCAAACAAGCTAGCAAACAAACAAACAAACAGTGACTTTCATTGGAAGGCTCAAGGACGTTCAATGCGCTTCGTGCTTGCTTCAAGACTATACCGGAATCCGCACACCCCACCTTCAAACAAAAACCCTTACAGTCATAGATTCGGTCCGCACTTCGGTGTGGAGCTGATGGCTTGGTAACTGATTACGATGTCAGTCTCAAGTCGACTTTGCATCTGAGAAACAGCAATCAAGTAGCGTATCTCTGGAGGAACCAACCTGGCGTCAAGCATGTGTAAGATTGTGTAAGCAAAACAATTCAGCAGGTAGTTGCATTGGCGGAGCACGTGAGTGATAAAGATGCTAGTGGATCGACTCATATTCAGCAACACAAACGCTTTGACGCAAGGCTAGCAAATGATGTTGGATCCCAATCTCTTCAACAGTCATATCTCTAGGGGTCGAGACTTTAATCGGTTTTTTTTTGAATTTATTTTTTGGTGGTCTGTGTGGTTCTCAATAGGAAAGGCCTTACAAGTAGAGATTTTGTCTAGAAGAGTCATCAAAAGCAAAGAATGCAATAGAAAACTCATCAAAAGAGAGATTTCAATATAAAAGTCATGAAAATAGCGATTTTACCAGAACAGTTATCAAAAGTAGCGATGGCAATGTGTCAAAATGAGAGATTGTGAGTAGTAAAGTCATCAATTCCTCCTTAAAATCACCCTCCTATCTCTAGTACAAATTTGACAGCAAAGACTTGACTCAATTGATTTGGCACCATGCAAATGTTGCTAGAGAAAGGGAGGTCAGCCATGCAAACCCAAGTTCCAGCAGCAAAAGCTCCACTGAGTGGCTGACAGGTAGAGTGTTTGCGCCTCAATGATGTGTAATTGAAGTGTTATGAAAATTAGCCGTGTGTGATTTGTTGCGTCTTAATGTGTCTTACAAACAACTCAAGTATGCCAGTCCTTAGCCCTTCTTGAGTCCACCTGTGACCGGCACCCCTGGGCCAAGACCCCGCATTCTGAAGGCAGCCTGACATCAAGCGCATGACCCAGACTGTCCGTCTCACAGCAGTCCGGCCTGCGCATAATCTCTCCACAGCATGTCTTTGCCTCGCAACATTGTACTGTCGGTAGGGTAGAGAGCTGTGGAGTCGCTGTGGAGAAGCTAGAGTCTGATTGAAGCATATGTTCGGAAGTCTAGTGATGTTCCTTGCGTCTAGTTTTTACCAGTTTAGTAATCTTTATAGAGTCTCGAAGAAGTGAGCTTCGTAGGAGAAACTCAGAACTTGCAACAATCAACACGTCAACGACTTTTGTACCTTGCTTCACTGAGACGATGGCCAAGTGTCAAAGCGGCGCGGGCGTACGGAGCTTGTGGCACATCAAGCCCAGTAGTGTGGACATGATCGTAAAACCTTGAAGAATTGAGAGACTTGGCAAATCGGGAGAAAGCCCTGAGAGATAGAGCGAAACACGAGGCGCTCTCAGAACCTGAGCTCTTGACGTAAACCTCTGTGCCGATGAAAGCCCACATTCAGAAAGCGGGAGAATGCGTGCATCCTTTCTGCGGCAGAAAACAACTTAAATTGGAGATGCCCTGAAAGTTGAGTGAAGCTAAACACAAGCAAATTTAGCTCAGAAGCTGACACGGAGCAACACGACGGTCTCATCTGCTTCATTCAGGAAGACGACACCCAGGAAGGACATAGGGAGCGACCTGAAAAAAAGGAACTGTCTAGGCACACAGGGGCTGGTGGAATGTGTCTCATTCTACATTAAGAGTCTTCAATTGCTGGAAGAAGTCATAATCCAGTTCACTTTCTGCGAATCTTTTGAGAACAAAAGAGAAGTCAAGTCCTTCATGTTCCTGATTCCTTTACCTCTGATCTGTCAGAGCACTAAGCCATGAGCTCCAGCAGCTTGGTTGCAACCTGAGTGAGACGTCGACGCACCATGTGCGCTTGCAAACAGATTATGTTGCTTACACGAAGTTGTGTATTATAGGCTTCAAATGATTCTTTAAGGAGTAAAACCATGCGTTGTCTTTGGAGATGATCTGTGCTGTTTGGCCTCCACTCTGAGCACTCTGCAGCGAGATTTGAGAAGCCAACTATTAGTGCTCCAGCATCGATCAGCCTTGGATTCACAGGAGCCTGTCATCTGAAAAGAGGGCCCGACCTTTTTTGACAAACGGATTCCAATGTAATCATATAAAATCATAATCAAGTCATCTAAAGTCCCACATCAACAAAGATTTGTCTACCAAAAGGCAACTCTGCTGTTCTGCTTCATGATTCTTGCAAGTTTTCATGGAGACATGTGCAATCACTGTGACTGCGGCGCATGAAAGTCGCCCTGCGAGGCTCTTTTTAGAAGCCACACTGGGTCCTGCCCAACGCTCTGCGGCTCAAATTCCAATGCACTTGTCAGCTTTGTAGTACTGCTGAGGCAGGCTGGCGCACCCACCCAAATGGCAATGTCTCCGTTCTAGTGACGACCTGCAGCATCTGCGCTGACTTCTGCAGAATACTTGCACATTCTCTGTAAAAATGAGCACGCTAGGCATCAGTTACAAAGAACTTTACACTGTTAGGGATGCTTCCTCCTTCTTTTCAGCAGCAACTTATTGTTGAATGACAAATTCAATTCAAAAACCATCACGAAAATGAACCATAAAACTACAGGTGCAACGGATGTGTCGTTCGGGCCTTGCTTTGCTTTCCAAAAGTCAGTAATCCCCCCATTAACAAAAACTCGGGTGCATATTTTTAAATGGGGGGTCCCTGAAATGGCGGTTGTCCAAAATAGGGTCAGTGGGAGGATCCTTGAATCATTGATTATATAAGTGCATATAAATTGCAGATTTCGTGGCATGCGCCAGGCGCCAGGCAGACTAGGCAGCTAGAGAGGCAGGGCAGGTTGATATCCTCTAAGTCCCCTTTAGTCTAGCCACGGTCAAGTAACTGTATACGTATATAAATATAGTTAAACCACGGCATGTTTGTAGGATTGGGGCAAGAGGATACCAACCTGCCCAGTGCCAGACAGACAGACAGTCTGCTAGACAGCCGAAACGAGAGAGGGCAGCCAGTGGAGGGGTGGAGGGACAACGGTTGGACAACGGTGGACGACCCCAGGGGTGGACCCAGCCTCAGCAACATGGTTGATTTTGAGGGAGTTTTTGGGAACCTATTTGAAAAGGCCATGTTGGTCGTTTGGTAGCGGTTTTAAGGGGCGGCAATCTAACCACAAATATACTGTAGACCGTATTTAGAGGTCTCCGGCATGAGTTCTATTTTTTAAATAGGTGCTCGGGATTAAAGCACAAGCCCCTTATTCCAATTGCATCTTGTCATGTATTGAACCCCTCATTGACCCTGCCTTTGAATTGAGCAGTGTACTCAGGATTTTGGCGTCGCACCCGTGCTCGTAGTGGATTATGCCCATGCCTTGCTTTCTACGCTTTCTATGCCTTCTAACCTAACACGTCAAAGCCTGGTTTTGCAATAATAAAAACACTGTCAGAGAGACTTGGAGTATAAAGTTGTTCGAGTCGCCGTTAGCCAAAAAGAAGGTCTTGGAGTCTTGGCGTCCTGCTGGCGGGCAACACCTCTGAAGGCGTTCCACTGAATCCGAGCCTCCGGCCTTCAAAGAGAAGACATCTTCAAAATAAAGAAAAATATTGAAGCATCATAGCAGCCCTTGTTACTAGTCGCTTCTTGTCACTAGTAATGCCCTTGTTACATCTTGTTACTATATAGTAGCGATGCCCTGGTTACTAGTAGCGATGCACTTGTACTAGTGCTTATTGACTCTTGAAGCATCTTGAAGCTCTCTAAGGCAACAAATGGCAACAAGGTATTCATCATGCTGAGTTGCGGAAAAGCACGCTGCTTCCAAGCTCCTGGAAACAAAACAAAAGCAGTAACCGGCCGATACGCCCTTTGAGACTTCTTAAACCAAGCTACACAAAAGCCAAACAAACGAACACATTGCTCCTGGGCAGTGCATGATAGTAGTGAATCACTCAAACCCATCACGCCAGGAAACACCTGAAGAGACGTTTGTGGCCGATAATTCTATGTCAAGGCATATGGCTAGCTAAGCCAAACACATGCTCATACAAGTAGTGCCGCACCTGAACAAATTGCAAGTCTGCGACTGAGTCAACTGTCTATGGCAAGCAAACCACTTTCTGGGATTGGGACAGCCCCAGCAGAGCAGCGCAACAATCTCCAAAGAATGTGCACCTTATCACATGTATCCGAGGCAATGAATACAGCCTTGGAAGCTTGCACTTTCAAGAAGATCAAAAAACAATTGTGTTGAACAATACGGGTCACACATGTTTATGCTCATCTCTAGGCGATCTTTCTGTCACGAGGCTTTCTTGACTCTTGACTGGCCTGTTGCTTGTCCTTCAGGCTGACTCTCTCAAGTGGCCACACATTCCCACGAAGCCTCAGACGAAAAAACAGAATCATTGCGCTTTTTCATAATTGTTTGTTCTTATGCTTTCATGAATCAAGAGCACACAAATGAACTGTAGTGATGAATCAATCTGTTTTTGGGACGCCAGCTCCTCAAGCCCATCCTCGAGTGCAACTTGATCAGGTGGAGGGGCATCAAGGCGCACTTCGTCCTGTTCAATGCAAATGTTAGAGCAAATCAATTCGGGCAGCGATGAGTCCTTTGGCATATCAGCCAGGAGCCTGCCACCCTGAGTGCAAATAGCGGTAGCAGGGTCACAATGTAAACTAGCAAAAGTTGAGTTACATAGCTTTTCAGCCAAGTCAAAGTCGCAGACCCAACTGAATCCAGTGACACGTCCCCCAGCATCCTTCACCCATGAAACCCAGCGAAGGCAAGTTGGCCTCTGAAGTTGGCTTCACATCGATGCAATTGAGCTCACTATTGTAGGCAAGTGCATTTGCTTCATTCGTGGCCTCCTGGCAAAAGGACCTCTCTCCTCCTCCATCTCAGCCTTAGGAGGAGGTGCGACTTCCGATTGCAAGTCCAAGTCTCCCGCCTTAAAGGATCAAGCTTGTTGATGCTTGGGTGCAAGCATATAGGTTGCTGAGGTGCAAGCTCGCAGCAACTTCAAAAGGAGCACAAAGTCCTGCATTCTCATGCCTTCGAAGTGGTAGGAGAAGATTGTGAGCCTCAGCCACCAGCTTCAAGTTGGAGGATCTTCGTTCCAAGTGTGCCAACGGTAACCTACATCTGATGCAAACTGCACATCTGCCGCAGCGCACCCGATAGCTACGTCTGGATGAGAGAACTCTGAGGCTGCTGAAGGGCAATCTTTGCCAATGAAAGGCACTGCCTGGGTTAAAGTTGATTAAGAATTCGAAGAGACTCATACTCAGCAAACTTGAAAAGTTGACATATGCATGATGACTAACAACTCTCCAGCAAACAAACACACAACTACAGTAGTCAAACATCTCAGGAAATACCTTTGTGACCTTTGTGGATGATACATATATCCTGAGAGGGCTGCCAACAAAGCTCTTCTTGCAGCTCGGCCCTTGGTTGAGAGCCGCCCATCTGCAGTCCATGTGCCATGGCAAGTCAGTCACAAAAAGGAGACAGTCGAAGGGTGCCTTATTTGCTGACTAATGTGGCAGAGATGGGAAAACCACTACGATAAGGTTGTCATCGGTCGGAGACCAGGTGAATCCAAATGTGTGGAGGCAACTCAAGCAAACTTCTTAGCTGCTGAAGACTGCTGCCAGTTCGATGTTCGATTCCTTGTCTGAGAGCAAGCCATAGCGAATCCTGTGCGGAAGCCCTGGCACGTCGCAACACATCAGGCACACGTACCGCACAAATCAGCCGTTTGTTGCGAGCACTGCAGGATCTCAGAAAAAGGGACAAACGTGCAAATGGGTCCGAGAAGATGTGGTAGCACCTGGAACAAACTCTCATCGATCTCATGAGGTCTTTATGCACCACGATGACTCATCTGGAGTCCCCGACGCTGTGGAGAAGTTGCCGAGCCAGCGTTACAAGTTTGGTTTCGTGGTCTGGCAACCTGCATACAATTTCTCGCAGACCAGTTTGCACGTTGATCAAAAGAACATGCCTGGTCAAGGTAGGGCCACATCTCCCTAGCGACAGGTAGGATTTATCCAACAAAAAGACATCAGCAAGCTCTCAAACGTGAATTCAGCTGATGAAAGGGGGCGGGAAGAACAGTTGCAACATGTGAGAAGCAAAATATTTGTGAGGTGACCGGTTTAATTTCTGTCTGCAAGGAGAAGAACACAAAAAAACAGTTAAAAACAAAGGTTTCGAAGGAAACTAAATCAAATGGTAAAAATAGAGAGGAACACAAAAAGGACAGAACAAAGAACATGATTAAACTCTCAAAAACATCAGAGGAACAGGAATAAACAAATCGTCACAAAATAGGATAATGAATAGGGCATGTCAAGAGGAAATCCGTAAACGGCGGCGTGCTCGGTAAATGTTGCAGGAGATGGGAGGATATGATGAACACAATAAACACACCCAAACACTGCCCAGCGACCTAGTTTTGATGGTTGGCATCTTTATCTCTCGCAAGGTTCTTCCAAACAATTGGATGTCCAAGTGTAATCACAACACATCACAACTTGATCATTTGTGAAGTCACGCTCATTGATTTGGGAGGCTTCATGGGGCCGGCCTGCTTCCATTCCTTGAATCTTGCTTGAGTTCTGCACACTCAAAAGGTTGTCTCTGCCAGAATACGCTTGTGGTTTGCATCAGAGGACTCATAGATCAGACATGGGATCTGTTGCCCAATGTGTGCAAGTGCTGTCAAACGATATTCCTGTGTTTTGCGTTCTCAAGTCAATTAAAGCCCTTTATGTTCAAAGGCGATCATCCGTTCTCAAGAAAGGGTGCGATTGGTATTTTCCTATAGCGACCGGTCTTGTGTTGGGTTTACCTTCGTCTTTTGACACATCGGTTCATTTTTCTCTTTCTTGACACTGCTCTTTGTGGTCTTCCCCTGGCATCCACCTTTTCACTTGCGCGCGCTCGCTCGCGCGCGCTCCCTCTCTCTCTCTCTCTCGCTCTCTCTCGCTCTCTCTCTCTCTCTCTCGCTCTCTCCCTCTCTCCCTCTCTCTCTCGCTCTCTCGCTCTCTCCCTCTCTCCCTCCCTTCCCTCCCTTCCCTCCCTTCCCTCCCTTCCCTCCCTCCTCTTAGTCCCCTTGCATTGGTTCGCCACATGGCTTTTAATTTTTCTCCAAGAACTGCATCATTTGCATTGCCTATTTACTACCCTCCAATTCTTCCTCGCCGTTGAATCTGATTGGATTTTAAAGATTTCTTGAATGGTCAGCTGGGGATGCGTACAGCACACCTTGAATCGTGCGAACTGTGATGTCATGCAGGTTAGCTAAATGTGTGACTGAGTCACTTGTCATTGTACACCTGTGCTCTGCCACTCTGGTGTCCTCTGTGCAGCCCTAGCCTTGAAGTCCCAAGAACATCATCAGTTCGTCTCGCGGAACAGCGGCCCGAGGACCCAAGAAGTCTCAGTTGAACGTGAGAAAACATGTGTTGTATGTACTTACACAAACAATGTATACAGCCTCCCCATGATCTACCAATGGTCCCTATCAGCTCTTTTCTAGCTCTGGGTGCAGCACTTGCCAAGTCATTGGACAACATGGGCAGGAGAACAGAAAAATACCACCTGTCAAACCGCAACTTGCCACAAAACACTGTTTGGCAGCTTCAACATGTTCCAGTTTCAAGGAACGTCCAATGAGATTCGTTGGAGTCTCAGCTGCATGCTGACTGTCGAGCACCACGGGATTGGGTTTCAGCATGACTTTGTGCTCAGTTCTGCCAGCCTCAGGCTGGACAAGGACAACAGTCTACAGTATCCTGGCCTTTTGTGAGGGTTGGGCTGGTGAGTCTACAGGAGGTAAGCCAAGTAGCTAAGTAGCAAGCTAAATTTATGTATATATATATATATACAACCGAGAGAGGGAACAAACAAATTAGCTAGCTATGGGACGCCAAAGGTTTTTGAAGCAACCTAGTTTATCTTAAAGTAACTCAAACGGAGTATATAGTTGGTAAATTTATCCAAGCCAATGTTTAGCTAGTAACAAAGGGTGGTGACATCTCAAATCTATGGTGAACGTAACACGGGATCTCCCGCCAAGCTGCCTCCAAGGCTGCCCAAGTCGAGCTGCCTTTATCAAGAATGCCATCAACCTAAGCAAAAATTACACCAGCATAGACCCAGATAGCTAGGCCTGCACAGCCAGCTTACGGCGCCTCCACAGCGCACACAACCAGCTGACACCACACCAGCACCAGCACCGACACCCTTTCGAAAGCGCGCGCAGCCAGCTCATTCTTATTTGCAGCAAGAACCCCATAGCTATTCCCTATGAATTCGGGGAATAACAACGTATGATCTTGCGCGTTTCAGTTTGCGCGCACAAAAGTATGCACGCGAACAGCAAAGCCTGTAAGTGTCATTGTCATTGGCCCACGGCCAAGCAGTATCCAGCGCCACTATTGACTTTGTAGCTTGCTTGAAGCAACGATCTGTAGAACGATAAGGCCGCATGATCTTGCGCGTATAAGTTTATGCGCACAAACAGCAAAGCCCGTAGGCTTCACTCGCCCAAGGCCAAGCAAGCAGTATCCAGCACGACTATTGTGTGTGTAGCATGCTGAAACATGCTGAAGCATGGTCGGTTGAGAGCCTGACGTTGCGCATAGAACATTAAAAATACAAAGTACCCGCGCAAACAGTACAGCCCTTGACACAGCTGTCGGCCAAAACAGAACCTGAAGAGTGTAAATACCCTACAGCGCTAATAGACAAAGAACGCTCAAGCGACAACACCGTCTGATGTTGCGTGCATAAGATCATGCGGCCCATGACTGCTGGCACTTCATTGTCAGAAGTGGCGGTTGGTCGCCCTTCACTGCTACAAGCTGCGGTTTGTCACCCTTCACTGTCAGAAGCGGCGGTTGTTATCACTTCACTGTCAATACTGTCAGAAGCGGGCACCAGCACCGAGCACCGGCACGCACCAGCACCCGGCACTCACCAGCACCCGGCACCCTGTCTCTACCACGTGCACAGCCAGCACCTAGCACCAGCACCGGCACCCTGTCTCCACGTGCACAGCCAGCTCACAGCACCAGCACCAGCACCGGCACCCTGTCTCCACCACGCGCACAGCCAGCACCCGGCACCGGCACCCTGTCTCCACCACGTGCATAGCTTCGCTATCTGGCAAAAACAACTTTTTATGCTTTTGGGGCATAAACGATTGGACACTGACCTCAATAATTAACATTGTTTTTGTTTCACATGCAACGATCTGGGTCCTGGGTGCTCTGCCAAACATCCCATGACTCGCCATCTCCTTAGGAAAAGTTCTTACACACTCGATGAGAATGAATCTGAAATAAGTTGCACACAAGCCAGACTCCGGCGAAGTGGCCTTGAGGTAAAGTTTTTTGATCAGGGATTATTGGAGCTGAAATATGTTTATTCAACCAGATTAATTCATTCACATGGAATGGTCGCTATTGCTTTAAACATGTTGCGGAGTGTACAGTACTGTACAAGTACCTGCAATTCAATGTCAACACTTTGCAACAAAAAAACGAAGAACATACCAAGAACATGCAACATGGAACACTTAACTTATCCATACCAAGGAACAGTTGGCTCAGCCAAATCCAGTGGTCTCACTGGCCCACATGGCCAATGCAACTCACTCTTCAATGGATGCATGACCTTGGTAACACGAATGCCAACATCACAACCCCTCTAATATACGACGCATCTTTCTTTTTTCTACGACAATGAGTTTTCGACTACTTCCCTTGCACTGGTCTCACTGACCCACAAAGTTTTCAATGTAAAAGTAGTTTGTAAATTGACACATGCTCTTCTAAGGGATTTGATTGATTGTTAATCTGCCCCACCTTTCGATTGCACTACAAATCTGAGTCTAATGAGTGATACTGGTTCATATGTTCCGCTGAGTCCTGAGGTATCAGCCCAGTCAATCTCATCGATGAGGGCGATGGCTCCTCTGAAGACTTCCAACATCTTCCGGGCCACCTCATGTCTTCGTGGATCTCCTCGCTACTAGGGTGGAGGCCATTGCTACTGTTGTAAAAGTATATAATCAGCCTGCCACTGTGGAGGCTAAGGCGTGATCCTTCAAGGCTTCTTCCTGATTCCCTTCAAAGCGCCTTGGCCCTGGCCAAGTTCTTCTTTTGAAAACTTCTGGTGCTCCTCTATAATAGAACAAAAGTTACTTGTGTATATATATATATATCAGTATCAGGTCACATCATCAAAACGATCTGACTGACAGGCACTTGCAAATGGCTTGCTGTTTCACTCGAGGTACAGTACATGCATCCGAAATGTTTCAACACACAGCCGAAAGTCGAGTTGTCCCCTAGACCGTGTCTGTTGCACTTTAAGCGTTGACGAGGTGTTGTTCTGCAATTGCAATGAGCGGTTGATGTGCATGTGACGCAAAAGAAAACTAAGCCGCCAAGAGCTTGACTAGGAAGACAGTCTGCGCCAGCCTTCAGAGCGAATTCCAACGCGGCCTGAGGCTTTGCAGCTGTCACAAAACAATGTTGTAGCTATATAAGTGGTACAGTACCAGTAGGATCGGACACCAAACCAATTCCAGTCCATGCACAAACTAACAACGCCCCGTTCGGTCGTAAACGCGCGCCGATGGTAGTCTGTTCTCGGCTAGAGAAATGCTTCAAGTGAGCAAATTGGTATAGGTATAGAATGGTATAGACTTAAGCGACTTCATCAGTAGAGTCCGACCACGAACACTTCACTCATTTCCGAAACCCTTTTCTCTTGCACTCAATTGTGCACGCAGTCTTTGTCCTCGAATTTGTGAATAAACTCCGAAAAGTTCGCAACAGTTCGTGTCTAGTGAAGTGTGTGCCGGATCCCCCCCTCCAGCAGTAGAACGCATGCTGGTGCATGGTGATAAAAATCAGCGTGTCAAATGTTCGCGTCACGCAAGCAGTGCGTTGGCGTTGAATGCTGGCAGTTGAACCCATGCATCGCATGTTCGTGTGTCGTGAAGCAACATCTCAAAAGAATATGCAACACCAAACCGCATGATATGCTCCTGCAACGGGAAGCCGTCTGTTTCCTGTATTGATTGCAATACTATTTTAATTGCATTTATATACTTCTGATCACAAAGCAAACCATCATCCCCACAAGCTCCCACCTAGCTCGAGCGCGGAAACAAACAGTTGTGCCCCCAAATGAATTCCGATACAACAGCGACATGACTTTGGCACTCCACTGGGGAGAGGCTGTGCTTGCGCGCCCGTTTACATACCAAAGGAGCTACAAAACCTGAGCGCATCGCTAAGAAATCTCCGCATCCTGCCAGAGCTAGCTGGAACATTGGAGGCATTCTGTTGGGCGGCAAGCTCTGCAACTCTGAGAAGCCTGGCAACTCATCTCTTGCTTTTGCATTCACTCACAATAGTAGGGTGTGGCATCGCACCCAAGACTGTAATCGGCAACAAGCATGCTTTCCATCTTCGAACACTGTCGCTGGATTCGACCCAATGTGTCGCATGACCTTTTCACACTTTTGGCGATGGTGTTAGCCTTAAAAGTACTACTTTGAGAAGTCCTACTGTCTGTCACTTGCAAGCTCCCAACAGATTCAGTGCAATTGCACCGAAATTCACCCTAGGAGAAAGGGAATGGCAGTTTCATGCCGGACCAAAACTATCCGCATATGCTCACCGATGAAAAATAGCGACATCAAAAAGGGCCTGCTGCAAAAGTGCTTCAATACAGTACTCACTGTAAAGCCTTAAATATAGTAACATGAAAGAACCTACTTCCTTGTTTGCTCAAAGCGGTCTTGGTGGGCGTATGCATCTTTATGTACAAGATCAAGGGACTCAAGCTGTACAAACTCCCTATCACGGAGTGCAATTGGAGCAATGCTCCGAATGTTGGCAGCGTGGAGAGCTTACATGCAAATTTAATATGTTTTCTTGCCTGTCCTCTCCTAAGCCTACAGTGGTGGGCATCGATCTCATTGCGATGCAAAAGAAGTTCTAAATCATCCAAATGAGGGTGACGTCCAGTGGTGCCATACTGCTGCCGCTTGCTGGGTGCTTAAATTCAGCATCCCAAAGCCTGGCAAATACACATCACTTTCTGTCAAACCTGTCATTGAAACTTTTGACCACAGAATCTAAACAAACACGACAGATCTTGTCGTACGATATTTCCCCTGAACCCATTGTTTGCAAGAACTTCTTTAAAGATGATCTTTGTTGAACTTCTCCTGGGGATGCCACGATCAAGCGGTCTTTTTGCTAGCTGTGATTTTAGTCATTTTCATCAGTACTCCTTTTGGCCTTTGTCAGCTTACACAAAGAACTGCAATCAGCAATGCGGTTCTTCATCCGCACAATCGAACACAGAGCCACAAAGGGTACCCCCCAGGCCCCAGACCCCATCTATGTGTACTATGCGGATACAGTCCAAAATGTGCACGTGGTCATTCATATGTGGTCTAAGCTTAACCAACACCTGAGTAGGCTGTCCTTTAAGTGAGTCGAACACCTTTGGCATCTGATCTGGTTTATCAGCCAAACCTTTGCCAGCTGTTTGTGGTGCATCAAATGCTTGCACTACAAACCGCAAAGGGTATGGTTGACTGTCAAAATGCGTCAGTGACATTTGCAAACCTGGGGGGCCTTCAACATCTCATATGTTTTAGGTAAAAACATGTAAACAACTAAAACCACGCGTATTTTACACATGCGGGGTAAAACTTCAATACCTGCGTGACGTAGATAGCGCGGGGCCGTTCAGGAGCTGGTGGAGCTGTGGCTGCGGCTGTTGCTGCCGCTGCTGGGGGGGTTGCTGGACTCTTGCTGCTACTGGGTTAAGATGACATTTCACGCCAAACCCGCCAATGGACCAAGGGCAAAAATGATGAACTAATTTGTTACGCCACGTTTATCACGACGTGACTAGACGAGCCGTGCACCACCGGTCACGAAGTGGACCGTTGTTTATGGTGAGACGGGACTCCGGCGGCGTCGCACTTTTTGGATGATGGAGGTGGTGGAGGGTGGGTGGGGGGTGGGGGGGGCTTTTTCCCCCGCTCCTACTTAATTATATAAATACTGTAAGTAAGGGAGTAGTTCGCTACTAGCATTAGGAAGCTCCTAGCTAGGACACAGGATAGCGCTCCCACTAATGATTTGCTTCCTAGATTTTGGGGGAAACTCAGCATGTGGGACATGGACAAGTGGAACTTTGAGGTTTTGCGTTTTGGCAACACAGCAACACACACACACCCATCAACAAATCGTTGTTATATGATAGGAAGCCTAGTGCCGAGATAGCGCCAACCCTTGCAGAATCACCGAAGTCTGGTGAGGGCCCGCTTCTTAACTCAAACCTATTGGAGTTATATGTAAAGCTTAACCGTATCAACCAGAAATTGTACTTTTTTGATTTTGGTGTAGCAATTTTATCTTGAGTATGTATTAGGTTAAAACGAAAAAACATGTGTGGAGTAATAGCATGTATATAATACATGTAATAGCAAAAATGGTGAACGCGATATCCCTTATGGTGCCGCCTCGCTGGAAGAAGACCTTCCAATTGTGCATACAGACCAATTGATCACTTGATATCATATGCAATAATGGGAAACTAGCTTGAGCATGTATCTTTTTATTGAGCATGTATTGACCCGGAGAAATAACTTTTGAGACCAGAGAAAATAGGGACCCGGACTAGACGCGGAAAAACCCGGACTCTGAGCGGAAAAAAACGGATTCTGAGCGGATATCAGGAGCATCTAATGGTGTTACTTGAGCATGTATTGGGTACGGTATTTCAATGATTTATTACATGCAAAAGCCATTGGGCCAATATGGAGACTCTACCGAGCCGTGCCTGGAGTTGTTCGGAACTGGTTGACGGGGCAGCCATGCTTGCTTATGATGAATACTCGATAATCAACCCGGAGAAATTCGAGTTGAGCATGTATTTAGTAAAAAGGTAATATTTGTTTAAAGAAGCAATATATAATTGATTTTTGGAAGTACCAGTATGTATTTTTCAAAAATGTACATTTTGGAAGACGGTGTAACAATTCTAGCACTTTTGGTTTAGCTGGTATATATATAATATAGTAACATATACATATAAATTGACATGTAAAGCATGTTGCCAATGAAACATATCACGTGAGGAGGGGTGATGGATTTAGTAATGGGGATGGAAATAGGAACCCTCCTATCAGCATTCATGTGACATCACCACGTGACTCGGTCATTGTTCTTGAGTAGGGTCAGGGTCCTTTGAAAGTAATCCATGTAGTTGGCCTGCCGCGCGTAGACGGCTGCGGCATTCTGACTATTTTTTGCAAATTCTGTGTGGTATTTGCAGCATTTTCTGTGTGTCAACAGGGCCACTGGGGAGAGTGGTCGCTTTTGCCATAAGCATTTTCTATGGCATGTTCATGGTTTCGAGCAGTTATTATGGTATTTACTGTACTTTTTGTTTGCAATCGATATCACAACATGGTCATCGACCAGTCGTGTGACTGAAATGGGGCGGTGTGGGGGCACATCGATTTCACAATATTGTCATCTATTTCACAACATTGTCATCGATTAGTCCTGTGATAAAAATCGGGTGGGGTGGGGGGTGAAGGTAAATCGAGTTCACAACATTGTCATCAATGGGTGTGGCGAGTGCACTGCCTGCGAAACCTCTCTGCAGACGATGTGTTTGTACAGATTAGCAAGTTGTTCTGACGCTCCGTTGAAGAACAAAAGGCAGCTGAGTTCAAACCATTCATATGGTAACGGTAAAGTAGCTTTTCCAGCACAAGAACTCTGCTCACAGAAATGCTAGTCCCAATGTAATTTCAATAAAAAGTGTTCTTAAACAAACAACAAATGGTCCCAAAACCACATGGCCGTCTAGACGCGGCGGACCATGTAGTTATAATAGTGCATCAACTCACAAGAGAGCTGATGTGTAAAACAACACTTAGGCCTTTGAGATAGCTGGCCCCGTTTCACGTGGTCTTCAAAATAGCTATTTAAGTGCAACATGATGCAAGATCGCAACCGAATAGTATTTGTGCGCACACCGTAACATCAACCAAGCGTAACTCCGGATGGAAGTGCAAGTGGCGCAAGAAATTTCGAGGGTACTCTTCTGGGCTTGCAATGATTTGTAAGCAACAACAAGCACAACATCTGCTGCCACCAGCCATCTCTGCTTGATGTCATAAACTCCGAATTTAGTTATATACAGCAATTCGCAGGACATCATAAAATATCACAATCGGTCCTGGTCCAGTGTTCATCTTTAAATGTGGATCATAGGTGATATAATCTTCGTTGGACTACCTACAGGAGAATCTCTCATCTTTTGTCATCCCCAGTTTGCAGGAGCAATTTTAGCCGTTTATTGCATCCGATGACTGTGCACCATGTGATACCTGTGCATCGACATCATGTACACCTAAGAAACCTGACTTGATCAACAGACCTGTCAATACGCGCAATAAAGGCAAGCTCCCATTCATGCAACTTTCAACAGGTTGTTGGCCAAATCTTTATATACGGATAGACAAGTCAAGTCAATGCAACTCCGGCAATTGGTGCGACTCTGGCAATTGGTGCGGAGTGTCAAACTTGAGCTCTGATGTGCAACAAAGGCCAAGTTCAAACATCAACACGGAAAATACTGAAAGAGGATGTGTCGGGCCAATAAATGATATAAGTTGTTTCCATCAAATGAAATTGAACAGTATGCAAGTTGGTTCTGGAGAAAATCAAAAAACACTTATGGCGATTGGCGAATGTCAAGAATGGAATCCTAAGCCAACATATGATAAAGAATGTCGTACTGTATCTGCTTACAAGTATTTGGGAGACCAACCGGTCTGTGCCTTCTTGTCTTGAGACGCAAAGGCGTAGACAGCCTGCCATTGCTCCAGCCAGATTGTTTTTTTTGTACATATTGCTGAATGTTGGCTAAATATGGTTTTATGTGTTGCTTGGCCCAGCTGTGCACTTGAACTTAAAGGTCAAAGGCTGCCTGAGAGATTTCTGTGCTGAGGTGAGTATGGCGATGCAGGAATCCTGCAATCCCATAATTGGTCACTGCTGAAACATACAAAGTCGCACACTATATAGTGTCCTCTGACCAGCGCGGCACAACCTCCAAATTTGCACAGTTGATTATGAAAATTACATGAAAACATTGTCAACACTGTACAGTCACTGCGGCTTCTTGACCCCGAGAAGTGAAGTGTAAAGCTGCTCAAGGGCGTACCATCAGGATCTGTAGTCCAAAGGAGTACTCCCATGCAGCCTAAAACTCAGTTCATCCATGCAGATCCGATCAATGGGCTATGCAGTGCTCCCTCACGTTCGTTTATCTCATGTCTCGCACCTTCTGAAGCCAGCAATCCAGCTGCGACCATGGTGGATTCAGGTAGACCCGTCCAAATGATTTTGCAAGCAACTGCCAACTGCACTTCAGCCCGTCAAAAGCCTGGCATGCAAATTCCTCATAGCAATGGAAGTTGTTCGACTTGAGTTATCTAGAATGTAATGTACTACAATTAAATTGTATTTTGCTTTCTGAGTGTTTCCAAACAAAGGCTGGCAAGGTGTTTTCAATGTTGGAAGGGCGGCATGGGGAACGGGCCAAGGACAAGGGTCAGCTGCATGACCTTCAAAGACGGATTCAAATCACCGGTGGCTGCAAAGGCTGGCAAACTTAGAATCAACACAATACCTGCATTATGTTTAGTTTTTTGCTTACAGTATTTTTGTTATGCATCTTTTGGTTCATGGCTTCCATTGAGCAAGTCAACAATCAGCTGCTTTGTTGCATCACTTCTAGTTTTTGTGGGCTTAAAGGTCTGCTCGATTTCTTTAGAGACAGTCTTGGCCCATAACAAGGTGCCTCCCAAACCAACTTAAAGGACGAGTAAGAACGCTTCAAAAACTAACAAATCCAAGGAGTCTGGAAAATGCATAGTGCAAATATATATATATATACATCCCAGCGCACCTACTCTCCAATCCAGGCCAGTCCAAGCTTGGCAAACTTCGAAAATGCTTGGGGATGTCAGGCGGATGTCACTAACACGAATTCCATACCTCGCACGGTGGCTGGCGGAAATACATCAGATTTCTTGTGCCACACCGCTAGCTAGTCTTGATTCAGTAAAGCCGTGCCACGCCTGTGCACTGCAGCCATAATTTCTGGAGTTGGAAGAATTTCCTTGCCCGGAATGAGATACTTAGGTTAAAAATAATTAGGTAAAAAATTAGACTGAATTTCTGCCTTGCCTCCATCCGGTGCGTGCTACCACGGTGAAGGTGACTCAAGTAGTTGTTCAACCTGATGGGAAGCCACCATCCACCACTTCTGTAGACCAGAAGCTTCCCAAGAAGAGAAACACCGATAGGAAGTACAGGAAGGAGCAAAGTGCTTCAAAGCATTGCAGCAGTGGTGTTTGCGTTTCTTGTATGTACTTCTCTCACTTCTCTCTGTTTTATGATCCCGTGTACCTTTTCTGTTGCTTTCCAATCACATCAATGTCCACTTCTATCATATCATATATATATACAATCGTCTTTTGTCTTCAATTCTTCACTTAATGTCCTCTCTTTCCTTTCTTTGCCCCGCTGTCTTTTGCTCCTCTCTACTTTCCCTGATCTTTTTCACACTGTTCCCGCTATGGGTTACTGGTCTCTAGTTTCTCTCTTTCATCCATGTTTAACTTGTGATTGTTGTTTGTCTGTACTACCTTCTACAATCTCAGCCTTTCTCTCCTACTTTGCTGGCTTTCTCTGCTTGGCTTGTGCTAGGCTTTTGTGTGCTTGCTGCTTATTTTTCGTGACCTGCCAGTAACCTGACGTGTGTAGTGCAATTTATATACAAGAATTTAATCACTTAAGGGCCTCAGCCTGTCCTTGGTTTTCCTCAGCTAACTAGCTAGCGATCATTCATTGTGTGCTGTAGCAAGACCGCGTTGCACTTTTCAGACCCAATCCTCTGCTGTCATGACCTGCTGTCAGCTTCAGCCCCTGCCATCGGCCCCTCCTGTCCACTCCTTCCCCATCTTCGACCCATGCGTGTTGTTATTCTGTCTGATGCTATGCAACCGGTTGAATACTTTCGCAGCTTAGGTGTTTGTAACTCGGATACTTCTTTTCAAAATTTTCTTTGATTAGAAACACAATGAAACACATATAGTTCCTCTATCATTGTGATGATTGCAAATGGCTGTCGCTAAAATTCTGAAGCCTGCCAGCACTCAAAGGCCGGCATCTTGGGGGTCCTGGGCATGGGCCCAACATTGTGAATTTAATTCAAAGCAGTAGACTTGCACTCTGCGGCTGACATCAAAACTTGAGATAATCTTCCACATAATTCCAGAATCAACTGGAAAAAAAAAACAATAGCAGCGATGAGAAGGCACCTGACTGCCATCCAGCCCATTCCTTGCAGAAGTCTTGACACTCCTTCCAGAAGTCCTACGAGCTGTCAATCCGAATGATCTTCGATTCAATCTTCAAGTTGTTCAAACATTTGAAATACGCAAAGAAACCCAACGTATCCCAACGTTATGTACAGTGACAGTACCTCAACTCTTGTCAATCCATTTTGAGATTGGACCAGAAGAAAGACCGAAAGCCAATGGAAACCTTGAGAGCTTGAGGACACGGTAGCACGTGCTTTGATTTGAAGCTCCCGGCCTTTCTTCCCGGATACCAGCAGTCTAGAAGCTTCCGGAAGTGGGCCACACACAGCTCTGAACGTGCATATGACCTGGCAGATTGTTCTCGGAGTTTTGCTCTGACAACACAAGCTCTGGGGCTGCTGCCATCCATTTGACCACTTGTCGTCAATCGCAAGATTCTCCCGAAAATGACGAACAGCCTGCAAGGCATGATTCCTGGACTCTCAAGCCACCAAACTAGCAATCTGAAGGGAAGACAGCTGAGGACAGGTAGTCATCAATGATATTATCTGTGTTGGCATTTCCTGCGATCATGCACTCTCAATATTAAGAAATGTATGTATGTATATATATTATACATACCAGATTCAATATATATACATATATATATTCATCTATGCATGTTTGTATAAGTTTATGATAGTTTATGATATCGTTTGAGTACTGGGAATATTCGACTTTGTAACGCATTAATATATCTATAATATGTGTATATATATATATATGATTATCGCACTCTGAAGTGACGTCTACGAGGTTGGCAAATTACTCGCTTAATCTGCAATGGAAATTGAAACAAGACTCTGGATGTTGATCTATATGCAGAATGCACCCAAAAAGGGTCTTAAGTGGTGGTGTCACAAGCATCTCTGTTGTTGAGACTGAAGTACCGATTTGCTCAAATGATTGGAGCGAATCCCTGCAAAGCTCGTGGCTTTTGACAAGAACCTCCCTCTCTCTCAGACAAAAACGGGCCCCTTCAATAAGGCCACCCCTTTGAAAGGGGCCTTCTTCAAGGGGCCCTTATCTACTTTTCTTGCTCTTCTTTTTCCTTACATAGCAGCTAATACGCTCAAAGAATGAAAATCGTACGACTTTAAAAAGTAGGAGTATCTGTTTGGCGCTTGACTTGATCATTTCAGTCTGCCTCTTCCTTTGCCCAAGTGGAGAGACCTCCTGGATTTTTCTGCTTTGGCTGTGCTTGCTCAGGCTGCCTGCTCGTGCTAACCTTGGCCAAGTGGCAGATTCGTAAGAGTCAGTCTCACAAATCGTGTGAGGAAAACACACTTATATAATAAGTACATCAAAATACTAAGCCTGCAACTGTCACAGGCTCCGTTCGCAGTCTGGACAAGTGCAATTCGCTGTTGATTTTGACATTGACTTCGCTCGATTGCTCTGAAGTCTTTGGCTCAGTTTGCAAGAGCTTCTGACACACATCCAGGCAGTCGTTGTGGTCCGACTGCTCCAATTCCTTCTGGTCTGGGTGGAGCAGCTGAGCAACAACTCTACACATGGATCTGAGTGCTCCATCTGTGTCCAGTGGCGCCATGGCGATTCTGAATGTTGAACGTCAATCTGTAGCGATGGCCTCCAACCTAATGTTGAACGTCAATCTGTCCTGGACTCTATATAGTAGTTTAGTAGTATCTATATATAAACACTGCACGCGTGCATGACACCAGCCTCTGTGTTTCATGCATTATCCAGAAAATAAGCTTGGAGAGAGGATGAGAGAGGCATCCACAAATGCAAAGGCAATGGCAAAACAAACAAATCACACACAACAGAAAATAACTACAAATCTAACCCCAAAAAATCACATGCAAAGGAACATTAAAACATGGAGGCATCACAAAGACCTGAGGGGCCGCTGACATCAAAGGCTCAAACAGGGCTTCATGATGTTTCATGCGGCACTTCAGGCAGCTGCAAAGCTGTGCTGAGTGCGCTGAGTCAAGAACTTGATGCTCTGAGGTGAAGCGCAAATTACGCTTCGTCTTCTCCGGGCATGCTCAAGGCGAAGCAGCAGCTGGGAAGATACCTCAATGTGTGAGAAAGGCAGGCCCGGCAATATGCCGAGGCATGCTCATGGTGCAAGACGGTCAGGTGAACATTGCGCAAATGCTACAGTAATCTAATAGCGATGGTCTCCACCCTAGTAGCGATGGCCTCCAACCTAATAGCAATGGCCTCCAACCTCAATGGCCTCCAACCTCATAGCGATGGCCTCCAACCTAATAGCGATGGCCTGCATCCTTATGCCGCCGTTTCATAGTGTGACAAGTGTGCAAGAAAGTCGTTCAGGTCATGGCCCTCGTTTCTCGAGAAAAGTCGAAGGTAAGAACCTTTGCCGCTGATGGCCAAGGATTCAGGTGTTTGTAAAGCTCAGAACAGGTGCATGCTTAAAACTCAGCCAAAGACTGGCAGCCCCAAAGATGGGCTACACAGTCGACTTCTAAGCCTCAGGTGCTGCGAAATAGTGACCAGTCTACTTTGCTTCATTTTATGTAGCAATGACCCTTCCCATGTATCAGACCATACAAGACCAAAAAAAATAAGAGGTTGTTGCATCTGCGGCTGCAAGCTACTGACGCTTCCAATCTGCCGAGGTTCTGTTGACGTGAAAAAGTCAGTAGACTTGGCCTGGATGCTAATTTGGTCAAGCGCACCCTATTGATAGCTTAATATTAAGTAAATTAGCAATTGCCATCGACCATTGCTTTCATGGTTGACTGCATGTTGATGCACATCCAGTAGATTCCAGTAGTGTCAAATACATAGCGTGAATAGTTTTGTCAATATTTGCACCAGAAAAACGTCCTCAAGAGTGCAAAATCTAAGTGCTCAGCACTTGCATATCAAACAAGCCAGGTTTGCGGTACTATGCCAACAAACAGGCGTGTTGGCCTGGCGGGTGAGAAGCTTCATTGAATGGTAGCACTGTAATATTCATATTCATACCCTTTCATTCGCACATATTTCATATTATATCATATTATATTCACTACCCATATCATCCATATTCATTATTCAATTCTATTCATGCGTGTTGTTGAGAACAGAACAAGCAAGGAGTGCGTCGATAGCAAAGCAGCTGCGATGGGGGCAACCACCTGCCAAAGGTGCATGACTTAACAGACTGAACAGGCATACCTGCACAACCTGTTGAATGCACGTCTGATACATTGACGACCTGTTGAATGCTGAGGGTCCCTGCACAGGTCTTTCCTCCTCCCATCAACATTTGATGAACGCATGCATCCTCGACATATTGCAGCACACATGTCGATGCATATCACATCTTGCAGGGCACAAGACACACCATCCGATCATGATGCACCTCGTTCCCATCGACAAATGCCTTCAGCACCTTGTGAAGAGCGACAACATCTGCCGCTGCATCCACTGCCATTGCTTTTTGAAGGAAAACATGTTTAATTAAGGAACTATTTTTATCCTAGGACAAAACCTTAAAAAAGAAACAAACAAACAACATGTGTTCCTTTTTAGTTGCATCACATTTTGCCGTGTTTGTGCGGCCTGGACTTGAGGCTCCCGAAGCATTATGCCACACACGAACTCCACCGCAAGCAAACGTGGATCTCAGGAGAGCCGCAAATCAACGAATATCAACGAGTCAACTGCGAAATGAATCCATCGTCGTGCCTATCAAAGCTGAATTGATGCCAAAAGAATCTGCAGTGATAAAGTGACGTTCCTGGTGTAACATCAGTGATGATCGAGCATGACCAACAAGAAAGAACAGCGGGATCCTTGGCCACCTCTTCAGCCACAACTTTGCCTTTCATCTCTGGAGATCTACCGTCCTGGAAAAGAGTGATCTCTTATGAACGTTGCTGGGAGGCGACTTGACAGTAATTAGCCACGATAAAGATTATCAAAACAAGTTGAAGAAGTGTCTCGCCATCGTGACCATCGAGGCCATCTCTGTTGACGTGAGCCAAGAACTTGTGTGTCTGTGTCTCAGCAATGCGGATGGCACTGATGACATCCTCTTCCCGCAGCAATCGTAAAGCAGAAGCACACTGTGTCGCACGAACCTCTCGTATGGTGTTGCAAATGGATGAAACGGTACAAGTCATGACTGATGACTGCATGACTTGTTGATCGGGCCTGCAGAAACAAAGCGTCTGCAACCAGCCTCGACAAGAAGACAAGTCGCCTACCTATGACATGCAGTGCCAAATACCAAAACAATCCAAAACATATGTATTCAATCTCTGAAGAATGAAGAGACCAGCCCCGTCAATCCATTTCATGCTCAAATGTGAGCTGGAAATGCTAACAGTAACTAACTCATCTTCCGGACTGATTATCTGCTTGTCTAATCAACATTTGACAAACATAGCTTATTTCTGCCCCTGCTCTGCCAGGTCACGCGAACGTTTTGTTGTCATCAATTCCAAGCACAGTGAGCATATCAGAACCTGGGAAAGGACCCCACCCGCAAGATTTATACGAAATTAGCACGCTTCAATAGAAACAAACGATTTCATGCAATTTTGTTGATATTTGCTCCAAGTAGCCGGTGTCTGCCATGAAAAGTCGAACCAAGCCAAAAAAGTCCAGGCGTGGCCTCTGTTCATCTCAAGTCCACATCGGCAATACCACCGAACCATAACTGCAGCTGGGTCACGCTGTACCAGCCACGAGCTGTAACGAACGAAACGCTGAATTGTTGTGATTGTAGCCATCCTGGGTCGGGTTGACGTGGATGCAAGAAACACTTCAAATATAGTAGAAACAAGTGCCACGCTACTAGGAACAAGTGCCTTACTAGTAGTAACAAGAACTAGTAACAAGTGAAGAAACACACACACTGATTCATCTCTACCTACTAGGGATGGCCTCCAACCTAAATACAAGCGATGGCCAACCTTTTGTCTCAGGTCCCATGAGGTCCAGACTGCCAAAGAAGATGCAGCCTCCTCTGCAGCGACTAGTGCCTTTGCAAACAAAGCAAAACACATACATACCCCATTTGAGGTACAAGTATGTAGAGGTAGTGGCTCGTATATTTACTACATAAACCTTCAGGCAAGTTCTAGTTTTGCTCTCAATGACCTGCCGCTGTCTAGACATGGACATGGAGTATACAACACATTTCAGAGCTAAAATTCCTTCTTACAAGGTATTGATCCGATATGCAAAGTCAAAAATTGCCTCCGCCGCCTTGAGCCGGTCGTGGTTTAATTGCCTTGCTCGTGTGACACTCTCGAATACCAAATCCACGATATAGATTATACAAATGCAAGACATATGTAGCAATGCTACTAGGAGCAAAGGGCATCGCTACTAGGAGCAAGGACGCTACTAGGGGCTCGTGGCCTTACTACTAGGAGCAAGAAGCTACTGGGCCCAAGAAGCTACTAGGAGCAAAGGGCATCGCTACTAGTCACTAGTCCCATGTCCTATCTACTTCCATCTAAAGAGTCCCTGGGCCTTTGAAGGGCTGCTGTGATCTCTTGGAGCCCACATCGCAAGGCTGATGCCTTTGAAGCGACCAAACAAAAGGCTTGCTGGATGTACTTTCTATGACATGTTTAGACAAAACTATCGCAGGTCCAACGCCTGTGAGGGCATTTGGAGCTCGTTCAAGGAGTCCTGCAACCGCTGGACCTGAACCCAAAGCTGAAGAGACTCGAAGATATTGAAAGGGACTGAACATTGAAAGCAACTACGGAAAGCCTAGACATATTAAAACCTTGTGGACCAATGATAGAGTGATTTCACTTTTCTGTACAACTACCATGTGACCGAAGCATGGGCGCAGCCGCTGCAGTCCCTGAGACCAAGACCCATCGCGCTCCTCGCGAGGTGCATTTTCGATCAGCCTATCAACGGCTTTCTCTTGACAGCATTGGGCGGTGTCAAGCTTGCTCAGGCCTGAATTTTGTTCATGACCCACGAGGCAAAGGCCTTGAAAAACGAATACGCTACACCAAACATCACCAGACTCCTCCAAGCTTGCTCTAGGCTCTAGGTGTTCGGCAGGAATCTCATGAGGCACAGGAACACGGGCGAGAAGTCCCTGGCAAATCTCCTGAGTACCGACCCAGGAGAGCTCTACCTCTCCGTTTGACAAACATGCAGGGACATCCGTGGAAAGTTGAAAGTTGCTATCTACGAATCCTTGGAAAGCCGACAAGTCAAGAGTGCCCAGAATTTGGATCAAACCAGGTCTTAAGTCAATGCATGATACGGAATAGTTCACTTGGACGACTGCACAAAGCCAAAAGCTTGGCAAACAGTTTGCTACACTGTAGGCTCGACAAGGATGCAGCCTGCAAAGGCATTCGAAGAGATGCAATTCCAGAAACCTGTCAGCCGGCAAGCGATTCTCCAATACAGCATTGGAAGACTTCTTTACCAATTGGGTCGCATGGTTGTCCAAGGCATTTGCAGATCGTGTCTGACAATCGGAGGTGTGGACAAGAGGCCAAGCCTAGGCCGTTGCCAAATCAGGTCATTCCAGCTGGATGTATTTGCGATATAATATGATATAATAATGTGCGCTTCTTCTTGTGCAAAGAACCCGTCCAAAAGTCGAAGTGCGTCATGCTTTAATAGTACCTGCAAAAGTATGTGCGGAGACGGAGGAAAAGATTCAGAAGCATATTCAGAAATGTGATCAACTTTGTTCCATGCTCATAAAACTCAATAGTGGCCTCTTTGGGAACTGCTGCAGGTGCTGGCGGCTTGGCCAATGGAGTGGCAGCTGCCAGCTTCGCATTCACCTGTTGTGCCAACAAAATAATAAGCTGTTGCTGCTTCGCTGTTTCGAGCTAACAGCCTCTTGTAGCCATCGTTTCTCAGCCGCTGATCGCAACAATGCCTGCTTCTTGGGCCTGAATAATGCTAGAAAATAATACATGCAATGTTGTGAATGTAGAAGCAAGCGGCTTGGCAATCAAAGGCACAAACGGTTTGGGCAAACTGTCTGCCAAACCTTCATCGCCTCAGATCAAGATTTAGCACGTGTTTCACTTTGTCCGCAATCCTCAGGTAGGCACGTGCAAGCAATGCCAAAGCTCCAGAGGGTGGGCCATGCACCCTGGCCTTTGTTTCAAGTACAAACCCGCAGTCTCTGACTAGCGTGTCTCAAGGTTCTTGTACTAGCCCAGCATAAACTGATATAAACTGTGTCAATGCTTGGATCCCTGCAAGGCATGCTGCCACCAAATGTGGAGGATCTTCAGGGAATGGCTGCACTATCACTGCCTCGTCTTGTAGCGTCTTGCAGTCTGTCAAGATGTGCATCGATACTGTGCATGGCTGGGTTCAAGACCCGGGTGAGCATCTCAAAAAGAAGTTGCGCGGAAAGTGGACCTGCAGAAAGCCTGAAGTGTTGGTTCATGATACGGACAAACAACCCCTGGTCCCTACGAGGCCCTGCTCCTCTTTGAAGTGCGAAACAACGTATGGCTCGTGATTGAATTGAATGACGAGATGAGGATGTGACTGTTGGTTGATAAAATTCAGGGCAGTAATGCCAGTTTTAGATTGCTCCTGGCTGCTCTGCTCCGATTTGCACAGTGAGTTGCTCGGTTGCAGTTGCTACGAGCACCATGCAACAAGCAAACCGGACAAGTTCCTCCGCTGGCACAGCAAAACCTGACTGCGCACGGTGCACGGAGCTAAAGACGGCCTGGCAAGCTGCAACAAGCCTCAAAGCGCTCAGGAGCCAACTGTAGGTCCAACCCGTAGAAGTTCCAGCCGATGATGTCTCGCTGTACACTCTCATTTCATAGCCTCAGGCGACTGAATCGCACCTTACAGCCTTGGTTTGTGTTTGTTTTTCTTAATAACTCTTGCACATGCCTTTCACGTTTTAGTATGTCTTAGTGTGATGTTGCTATCCACCAAAATAGAAACGGTCAACCTCTGCCCTCTGCCAGGGCTTCTGGTTTCTCAGCAGCACACCATCACCAGGTGCCAATGGAGGTGGCTCTAGAGCAACAACGACCTAAAGAAGCAGGTCCACCAGCACCAGGTCCGCTCAGTCTCTTTCCATCACTTCGCTCAGTCGGTCAAGTGCGTGCGTGAACACAGGTGTTCATTGCCAAATCGAGCGCATCACCCCAGTTTGTGCTTTGAGAACTTGTTTCCGATTTCTCAAGAACCAACTGATGCCGTCCTGCCATGACAGCTAGAAGCTCGATTCGCATGCCTTGTCTATTTTGCATGAAGTGCAAGTGGATGCAATTAAACAAACAACATGACCCTCAATCACCGACGACACAAGACTACTGTGACGACGGTTGTTCGAAGGAAACACCTGGGCAAACACTTGTTTCTAAAGCTGTGTTCAGGTACAGTACAACTTGGTGCTGATATCCCTTTCAAATGAGTGCAATTGAGCCGGAAAGGCAAGCTCTGGCAGCATCTGCATGACCTCACTTGTCCGACGAAACAGCAACAATGAGCCCATAAAGGTTCGAGAGCCCATGAGACCCCTGTGCCTGCAGCTCCACCTCTGGTGCAAGTACACAGCTTGAGGAACAACGATGACGATTCAGTATAAACCTCGCATCGAAGCCGGCAAGAGCCTTGTGCTGCCATTCATCAGTGATGGACATGCTAGTGCATAGTATTTGTGGTTCAGCAAAACCCGCCCTGTAGGCCTTCTATCATGTACGTAAAATTGTCTATCATGTTGAAGAATAGTTTGGATTCTAATTCTTGGATTCGGGATGCAATTGTATAGTTGCGATGGGCACTCGGTCGATGGCACTCTTATGGCTGCGTGAGATTGGTGCCGGGTACCCCCATGCTGACAGTTTGTTACACTAGGTGACTCAGGTGGCGGTTTTCTTCGACTTCAAATCAGTGGACAAGATTTAGTGCTGTGTCAGAATTTGACTATATCTCCACACGTTAAAACATACAAAACCTGTTTAGAAATCGACAAACTTAAGGCAATGCTTTACTGGTCTATGATTGTGCCAAAGAACTTGCTCACGCATGCTCTTACGCAATCTTAACGCAACGCAGGACTTTGCTTACGCCAAAATTGTATGACACAAATCTTTCTAGTATATGAATGAAAAATGAGACAGCTCAATACCTAGCCAAAGGGAACCCACCTAGTTCACTCGATTCAATTTTTTTTCAGCATCAAGAAGTAAGGTATGGACTGGATGTAGGCGTTCCTTGTGGACCATGGAGGCTCCAGGCCTGCTTGTGAGGAAGAATGGAACCATCCCAATTCGGAGTCCATGGATACATGCGAAATCCGACCTAGAGGCTGCAATGCTGCTGCGAGATGCAATCGGCAGGCGTGTGCATCTACCTGCGCAAAATCAAAAACGGACACTAGAAATCAATTTCCTCCTATTTCTATCATCTATATACACATGATATATATATATCTATATAAAAGGAGTTGGAGATCATACTAGTGCTATCGAGTCATATTAGTGCACCATTCCGTATCTGTCAAACGTGGGAAGTGCTACTGAGCTCAGAGCGTGCTGATCATGAGCCGTCTCCGAGCCAAGGCGCTTCCAAAGCGCTTCCTGGCAAACATCCAAGACTTGCAAAGAAAGTCTTTAGACACATTGTGCATTCATATACGGACATTTAAAAGATTAACACAGGTCACAGGTAGAACATCTGAAGGTGCTCAATTTATTTCCAGGTCTTGTCCTCCTCTGCAGTCAAGCTGTCGCAGCCCAGAAAGCTTGCCGCACGCACCACCTGGACTGTACTGACATGTACCAGAGCAAGGACGACCCCAATTGAACGCCGGAACTAAAATGCTGTATATAGAACACCTAAAATGACTTGAGTCCTTTGCTGCCCGGCGGACTTATGACTGTTCAATGCACCGAATGAATTGGTCAATTCCAAAATATTGAATCTTTACGTCCCCACTCATTGTGATCGTTTCAAAGCGCAGTCTCCAGACCTCATCATAACGATGCATTAGCCAACAACAAGTCAAGCGGTAGAGCTCCGCTGCCAAATCCTGCATGCAAGTCAGCAATCGAACACAAGGCCAAGCAAACAGGCTGGCCTGAGCTGAAACGTAGCAATGAGAAGGATGTATCCCAAAGAAGTAGTGCCCAGACTTCTGCTTCTGAGTGCTTGGAGAAGTGTGTGAGCCTTGGATTGAAGATGTGGTTTGCAAAGTTTTTCAGAGCTTGAGCTACACGAGTCCTGCATGCCTAAGCCAAGCAGCTTGTTGTTTCGCTCCGGTCAAAAACTAAAGGTGCCACCCACTCCAAAGGATATGGCCTGTGCTGCATACTCATCATCAGTCATCCCTTGTTCCATCCACAGTGCACAAATACCACTGCTGTAGATGTTTCATCAAATTGTTGAAAACACGACGCAATGAAGAAGATTCGTTCTGTGCTGTTTGGCTGTTTATGACATTGACAAGCTGAAGTCGCGAGTTGCTAGGGACAAGACCCTCCACCAGGGCGGCGTGGTCGCTGGAGTGCTGAGCACACAACGCCAAGTTCTCCGTCAGGCCCCTGACAAAAAAACAAAACATCCATCTATGGCAGTTCTCACAATCTCTCATATCACACCATAAAACGAATTGGGTCTTTCACACCAAATAAAACGAATTGGCAATTGGGTGGGCATGAAAGACTCTGCATTTGGCAAACATCTACCATCTACTTCGTGGATCTTCGTGGGATTGACACATCCGCTTCTGCCAGCTGTGCCATCGGTGCCAGCCTTCAAAAGCATAGCTGCTCCACCGAACTGGGCAAGCAACTGTTGAACCTCAAGGTGCTGAGGTGGTGTGAAGATAGCTGCAAGTCTGTCATTCATGATGTCGTTCCACTTTTGGACTTGTATAATGGTTTATCATGGTTTATCCACTCTGCCAAACAGCAGTGCAGTTCTGCTGGCATTCAGAGCTACTGAGATGTGAACATACAGGATTGATTCATCCAAGGTGCTGATGGCAGTGATACCAAATCTCCACCCAGAAAAAATATAGTCATATTCTATCATATTACTCTATTCTGATATTTTTCTGCATCAAGCTCTCAAGTGACATCCGCTGTGATGCAAAAAAACTGCAACAGTAAAGCTGACACAAACAGGATGAGAATTACAACAAAACCACACCTCAAATCTGCACAGTGGACCTGCAAATACAACTGCTCTACATGGGATTTCTGGAATTGCCTCAGCAGATCTTGGGAACCTTTAGGAACTTGGCTACCAATACCAATTGGATCCGTCCATATAATCTTTTGTCAAGACTTGCAGTTTGATCATGCTCTATTCAATGTGTCCTGCTTCCAAGGTTGGCATAACATCTCTTGAGATGTCTAGTCATATTAAAATATATGATATGATACTAGGAACAAGCAGCTACTAGGGGCTCCTGGCCTCGCTACTAGGAGCATGGACGCTACTAGGGGCTCCTGGCCTTACTACTAGGAACAAGAAGCTACTAGGAACAAGTGCATCGCTTCTAGTAACAAGTGCCTTACGAGTAGTAACAAGGACGCTACTAGGAACAATGTTCGCTACTAGGAACAACCATGGCTGACACCCAAAATGCGCACTCAGGCTAGACTAGTCAGGAAGCGAAAGCAAGGTTGCTGTCGAGCGCCCCAAAAAACAGTTGTGTTTTCCCGGCCCCGCCTACTAGGGATTGTCTCTTCATTGCTCTTGATAACTGTTCATTCTGTGCCGTGGGCTGTGGGACAGGGTCTATTCAATCGGTGCAATGCTGCACAAAGCTCTGTATTTGCCTTTCGCTAGGTGGCCGACCCTGGATGAAAGTCCTGATAAATCTTCGCATGCTACACCTAAGCTGCTTTTGCATGACTAGCAGCGCAATGACTTGGCAAATCTCATATTCCGTTAGGGTTATAAGGTTCCGGCAAAGGCCACTGAAACCCAAACACTCTAGGCCACCTCTTGCATTCGCCTATAACGATCAGCTTGTTGGAGGCTGATTGACTTCCCACTGCTCAGGTTGCAAATCAGGAGCCTTGAAGCGTAAACCCAGGCGAGGAAGTTCGATGTCTGCAACATTGCCTGCATTTCTGCGAGACCATGAATGGATTTTTGGGGTTCAAATCGAGGTCCCACCTCCTTCATCTGCCCAGCATAAAACAAAAGCTAAATCTTCTACGCGAATCAAAATGTCTGCCTCGAGGAGTTCAAGAGTGAGCCGGCAATGCAGTCAGTCTCCGGCTATACATTGTGATGTAGTAGTTGCTGAAGATTAACTCTAAGAGCAAAACCAACCGGCGCAAGGGAGACGTGCTACTCGAAAGCATTAGGTTGCAAAGCACCTGCCTACAGTTCTAAAATGTTCAGAAGAAGTTCAGCATAAACTGATGACTTGAAATTGCTCACGAATCTTGCATGAAACTTGCACGTCTCATGAAAAGAAAGTCACAAAGCGCCTGGAGGGTTTCCCTGCAGCCTGGGATGGCATGCTCTGTGATGGCCTCGTCAAACTGCAAACCAGACAAGGGAAAAATGCAATTCCTGTGTAAGACAACCACATAACTCGCACAACTTTGGCGCAGTCTCCATCAATCAATTCCACCTGGCGGCGAGTGGCCACCAGTGAACTTCCACGAGCAGTTTGACACTCTCACACACACACACATTCACGACGAAACTGCAACCGACTTGAGCCTGCAACTTTGGCGGTAGTCCCTGTGTTACACTTCTCTCCTACCGAGGTTGAGGTTGTCAGAAAATCGAGATCCACGCGACTCGCGAACCTCTCCACGGAGGATTCCATCGTTGCCTCTCCAAAAGCGGAATGCACCTCACAGGAAAAAACAATCATTCATTCCAATGAAAATGCGCGTGATGAACTATGATGCCGCCTCCACTTCTCCTAAAGTATATATCATTATATATATTATATACTATAGTATATATTATAAATATAAATAAGTATAAATCTCAAATGGTTTGAAAGCAATCTTCTACTTGTCGTGTTGTTCCTTATGTGTGCGTCAGTACACGCCCAAAACCCTCTTGGCAACTGGCGCAGCAAAGCTTCTGGGAGCAACCCTTTGATCAAAGCAGACCTAAGACTGGTCAAGGTTTGCAAAGACTGTCAACTGTCAACTAAAACTTTCAAGGTTTGCAGTTTGCAAAGCAAACAAGATCCAGCGAGGTCCCACACGGGAGCAAGGCCTCACGGCTTCCTTTGGCTCCAGAAAATGCGTCCTTGCTCTCAATCAAATGGACCAATTGAACTATATACTATAGACCATGGGGCCATGGGGCATTGTTTATCATATCAAATTGATCAAATCATTGATTGCTACCTGATGTTGCGCTGCTGGCTCTACATCCCAAAGCCAAAGCCATGAAGGGCCAACAAATAGGCGAACAAATGCGAACAAAACAACAACTCACTGAACCTCAGGTAAGCTGTCAGTCCTGCTTGCGCTCACGCAGAATCAGAACTGTCTCTTGGCTAGAAAGTACTGGCTGCTGCTTTGCATGCGAACCAGGCACCCCTCAAGGCGGTCTTCAGCGTGTCGCAGCATCAATGCCAATGCAGTCCATCGGGTCCATTCTCTGGGTCCCATGAGTTCCCATGCCTCCCTCTCCGGAACAAAGGTTCCAGGCACCGAGCCTTGGACAGTAAAACCATACAGCCGTCTCTTCAAAAAACAGCATCAAATACCATGGGTATCCATGGGTAGTGTTATTTTTGGGAGTTCTCTTCCTGAAATCCAAACCCTAAATGCTGGAAACACTGGAACCTGTAAGATTGCACGATTGCGTGATTGCATGGACCAAAAACACGAACTGAGCTCAACTGTTTCAATGGACATCTTGTAATTGCACACCCGAGGGACTCGGAGCACCAGGGCTCCTGGGCCACCAAGACATTGTGCAACATCTTGCGAGGAAGAGTTGTGAAACATCATAAGGTTAGACGTCCTGAAGTGGAAAACTTGACCAGCACCAACTTGCGTCGCTCGTCCATCTCAGCTTCTTGTAGATCATGCGTGCCTAAAACAATAAAATCCTGGTTCGTTTTCAATTTAGTTGGACACCTTCTGACAAGAAAACGCCTGCGACAGTGAACTTCTTTTGCTGACCAGAATGTTTGATGTCACATGTTCTTCGAAACGTTCTTTCGTCTTGGAAAGAATAACTGGCTTGGAGACTCCAGCGCATGCTATACAAGTTATACGAATGCAAAGTTGCTAAGCTTTGCACATGAGACAAATGCTCAAAAATCTGCACAACTGGAGGGTCTCGTAACACAAGAACCTGAACGGCCATAGGTAACATCAGGCTTCCAATCAGGGTCCAAAGGAATGCAATAAAGATCAATAAAGTCAAAGTTTTGAAAGATATTGAAAGGAAGTCAATAACATGGCACGATTTCTCCACCTCGAGGCCTTCCAATTCACAGGCCAATCTTGCCATCCTTCAGGTGCCAGCTAGCAAACACTGGATGGAGCTGCTTCAATCAATGTGCGCATTCCATCTTGTGTGGCGGGCCTGTCTGAAGCATCCAGCAATCTAGCAGACCCCAAGCTTGTAGGAATGCCTGAAATCGGACATGAAGTGTTAAAGGATGCTTCCTTAATGTGTCATGTCACTTGAGTCAGTCGAAAAAAAGCAAGTGTTGCAACTCGTGCTATTGAGTCCGTCGATTGCATCTCGGAAGGTGCCTCCAGCAGCTTTGACCTTGCCCGGAATTTGGCCAAATCCCTTTTCCTCTTTTACAGTCTTGTTCTCTCAAGCTTGAGGGCAAGCTCTGCTGCTCTACTCAGCATCTGCTTCTCACCCTTTCCAGGCAAAGCAGCCGTGACAGGTTTTTGGTAGTGCATTTAGTTGGCTGTGGCGCAAGCTGCTTCGTCCAACCATGCACACCGCGCACCTTTGGCCTCAGCACTTCTTGGTGTCTAACTAAGTGACGGGCATGAACAACTATGCCTATGCCATATATAGTTGGCAAAATTCAATTATGACGATGCTGATGCTGATGAGGATGAGGATGATACCACATACATACAATCATATAGTGCATGAGTTCCACTTCTGAGCAGGCAAATAACATGCTTTTGCGCACTGCAATGTGAATTTTGATAATTTTGTGGAAGTTATGGCAGCTATGGAAGAAATCCCCAACCAGGCAGTGAAATCCCACAAGCTAAAATATCAAATGAAAATGAAACCATCTGAATCTATACTCTGCAATACTCTTTCAGATCTGTCTGTTTTCGCATGTAAACATGTGCAAACTGATACTATGTTAGCGCTTCTTCGTCGACATACTTGTCTCAGTGACCCACAGCCGTTTGAGCTGGCCAAGGACGGGGATCAGGACTCCACCGATGCAAATCACAACCTTGGCAATCGAAAAAGAATCCACAGTTCTCACACATAAAAGAAGCGTGTATTGCTCTGGCACGCAGACTTTTCCACCATGTCTAACACAACAGTGTAACAGGATCAGGCACTTTAACGAGTCTTGGTCTTAGTAGCCCTTTTCAAACTCAGGATGGTGCGCTCACCTGCCAGGTTCAAGCATTCACGATGCTCTGTCCTCTGAACCAGGCCTTGGACTTCAAGCAAATAAACATGCATGTGACTTTGACGTGTGTGACTTTGACGTGAGGTGTATCAATTCAGGATTGAACATGCACGAAAATGGCTAGTGTCTATAACAACTGAAGAAACTCTGAAACCCTGAACAATAAGCTTCGTGCTTGCGAGCACTCCCTGAAGCCTTTCGTGACCAAAAAGCTCTTGCAGCTCTGGGCAATCTATCGCCCAGCCTGGTCACGTCTCGATGCCAGTTCTTTCATGGTTCTTCCCAAGGTTGATTGGAACACATATAGATTTTACTGCATGCAAATGTGCTGGAATCAATATTATATAAGGCTTATATTTACAATGTGCTCTCTCAGGTTCCAAGATAAGCAGCTACCCCTTCGGAATCTAATGACTCATGCCGCTAGCAAGATTGCCATTCATGGTCCAACAGCATGCCCCGGCATTCATGCTTCAAATGGTTCCACGATATTCCACATGTCCACATGTTTTTGTCGCTCATTCAAGATTGATCTCAAATGCTTCTGGGCTGATTCTGCATTCGGAGAAATGCAAACCAAACCATTCTGCCTGAAAAGAAAGTCCCGCAAGTCCCGCAAGTATTGAATTTATCTAACGCCTTGGGAATCCTTGGGAATCGCGAATGTTGACGCATTATGTCAGAAAGGTCAAAGTGTATGTATCGGTATCAGTAATATCAAGTGCATATTGCATATGCTATGAGTTTCTGAAGCTTAATGACCATAGTGCTGACGATGCCCCTCTAGATCCTCGCATCACTGGCATAGCAAAGTGATGGGCTTGGTGCCTCTACTTCTCCCAAAGGCAAATCCGATCAAATCCGCGTCTCTCGAGAGATTGGCTATGAAGCCGAGTGCGAAGTCTAATCTAGAGTAGTTCTTTCATGGCTTTTGTGCCTGGTAGAGCCTGAAGCTCTCCCTGCTGCATGGCCAGGCTGCCTGGACCACACAGCCGCAAATCCAAGACCAAGTCTGTTGTTGAACGGGCGTTTGGACTTGTGTTTTCATGTCTAGTTGTGTTCAAATGCTACACAATGCTCTGCTGCTGATATTGCTCTATTACGACCATGGGTTAGTGCTATTCCATTAAAACACAAATAACAATATATACACTGGGGTGCCGAAAGTTGCGCTTCTTGACTTCTAAAAAGGGACAAACCCTTTCCCCTTAGAATCCCACGTGCAACATGTCGACACCTAAGTTGTGGTCAGATTTCCACACCTGAAAGCCTTAACTTATAAGTATGATAAATTTAAACGGGTGTGGAAATCTGACCGTGCTGTACCTGCCAGGCAAAATGGACGTGTCAATCCGATCCGCTGTAGACCGCAAGTGTCATGTTGGAACAGAGTAAGAAGCGTAAACTTTAGGGTTCTTGAAGGGTGCCTTTTGTGTTTTTCAGAAGGTGCTGGAAATATACATGTGTAATTATGTATGATATTCCAATATTTGTTCTTAACTTTACAGCAGGACAACGTTTATGTCGAACCTAACAACATGTCTCACTATTGGTTTTAAACACAAGGCTAATACCTAGTAACAACGCAGGGTGCCTTCTGCGTTTTTCAGAAGGTGCTGGAAATATACATGTGTAATTATGTATGATATTCCAATAATTGTTCTATTTTGTTATTAACTTTACAGCAGGACAACGTTTATGTCGAACCTAACAACATGTCTCATTATTAGTTCAAAACACAAGGCTAATACC